AACAATTTATTTGTGATTGACTGCAGGGTCAAATGAAAAGAAAGCCCAAAGAAGAAAGAGTCTTGCTGAAACTGAAATTGTCTGGGGGGGAAAAAAAAAGAAAGAAGCTAATTTCTTAGAATGGTAGAATAATAGAATTTAAGGATGGAAGTAACCTTGAAATAATTTAGTCATTCTCCTACCCAAAGCAAGAATCAACAGGATTTCTCTTGTCATTAAATAAACATCTGCAAAAATTAAAGGAAAGATACAGTGTTAAAGATTTTTCTGAATCTCAACATTAGATAGGGAAACTGACTCCAAGAATATCCATATTTACCTGGACCCTCAATTGGTGACTCTACTAACCAAAAACCAAACCAATGGCACAAAAGATAATATTAAGGTTGTATTAAAAGCAATACAAAAGAATACACATTATTTATCTTTTCTTTTCCTTATACTTTTACCCCCATGATTAAACTCTGGGATACCTCCCAAGAACTCAGCTTGGGAAGCAGTTATTGAGTATTTAACAGTACTTTCTCATGTTGGAGTTGCAGTTCAGCAGTGCCTGGAAGTACTCCACTTCTCATCCCTGCATTATGCCAACAGCTTGCATGCTGTGGTTGTGATGTTGATTGTTTTCTCATGTCATGCCTCTTATTTATTCTTTTGTAAAAGGTTCAGACAGCCCTGCAAGCTGTTTAGCTTCCTTGGTAGCTTGTCTAAAATTACTCCAGCTTTTGTAATCTCTGTTCTACATGTAGCAGACATTTAGAAGCTAAGAAATGACATTGTTATATTCTCCTGTGTTAAATCTCTTTCATCCCTCCTTAAAGAAATTTGTATAATAGTCATAGACTTGTACTTTTTATAATTCTAGAGGATACACTTATTTTCTTCCTGTTAACATACTGGGAAGCTTGATTAGGGAAGCTTGAGTTTTTCTAATCTGTTGAATGCCTCAAGTTATACATTAAAAATAAACATTTGGGCTGCTCCTATTCCTTTTTCTCATCTTTAATTGTTTTAGAGTGTACTAGCAAAAGGCAATTAACAAGCCTACTTTCTTTAACAAAATTTCTTCTCTTTCCTTTCAAATCCCCTTTTTCTATTATTTGTGAGTACCAAACCACAACTGCAGTATTCTCACGTGTGATATATACTTATTCATTTAGATTCTCCTAAAAATGTCCAAAATTTGCTAAAAGTCCATATTTTTTTCTAAATTTGAAAGGGAAAAATAGTACTGATATATTGGACATATATATATGTATATGTTTCTTTTTAAGTGACCTTAAACATTTGCTTGGATAATGTGAGCAGGTAGAGAAGTCACTTCCAAAGAAAACCAATATATTAAGGGTTGCTACAATAGACACTGTAAGGCTTTATGTTCTTTCATTAGGGTTTATGTACTGGATGTCTTCTTCAGGATATCTGCATTTTACCTATTGATTTCAAATACCAGGTGTTGTGATGGTAAGTGCATTTGAACTTCACCAAGGATTTTGTGTTATTCTAATCTGTGGACATTTCTCTCTCTCTCTCTGTCTAGATTACATGACAACCATTCCACATTAGACCAATGCAATGATTTCAAAGGCAAGAAAGTACTTGGAAGCATATGGAATCTTCTAGGTAGGACCAATAAGCATCAATGTCTTTTTCTAGGATTGCATGGTTGCTCTCTGTGCAATCCTGGGAAAGAACTCATTTGGTTCAGGAAGCTATAGAGACATTGAATGCACACTTTGGAATACTTTTTTGTTTTTCAATCTGAAGAGATGCACAACCTACTTTTTATACATATTATTCTTTCAGATGTTGCAGGATTTTAACTCAAAATCAATCATAGAATTTGGCATGTGATAAACCCAAATGTCAGCCTTTAGCATCATATTTGCAGTAAAGCTGATTGCCATTACAATTCATTGTATAATTGGAGAGATCAAATTCAGTTCCCTCCGCAGCCATAAAGTTCAATGGATGACCTTCAGCCAACTGTTATCCCTCAAAGAAAGAAACTAAGAAAGTCCTGGCTTAGTAGCTAGTTGCTATGGAGTCAAAGTCCATGAATTCACTTTTTAATTAAAAAAAATTAACAATGAAAAGCAAGAATAGATCACTGGAAAGCTCCTAGTAAATGAGTGTGGTATAATGGGAAAAAAATGAGAGGGAGTTGAGACAGAGAACCATGAGCTGAAATTTCTGGACAAATATATGAAATTTCGGGGAGCCTAGAAGTCTCTTACCTGCTATCCTAAAAAAGAGAACTTGTAAGAAGCAAATAACATGGAATACAGTCTTTTAAGCACCTTTGATAATAGTCATATAGGATATGATAAGATAGATACTGTAGATAAATGATCTACCCTGGAGATCATGTTGGTTGATGCTAGGTAGAATACTTATAGGGATTTAGCAGAATTTGAAATAGCTCTCTTCCAGATGACATTTTTTAAAGGAAACTTTTCTCATCTAGTAAATGATTTACAGTTTATCCAAGTTAAAGTACAGCTTAATGAATATGGAGTGGTCAGAATCTGCAATGTAGCCACTGCTTACAGTATCATCAATCAGTTATTCCTATCCACTAAAGTGAAACTTTATTTTACTTTAGTATGTTTTTTTAAAACTTGTCATTGATGGATGAGACATTGTCAAGATTTGTTAGCAGTAGGACTTACTATACTGTGATGGACATGCTATTTGTCTGATTTCTAACCATACATTTAGAATAGAATATAATTTTTATTGTTCAAGTGTGATTGGATACACAAGAAATTTGTCTTGGTGCATATGTTAGATCTATATCATAAAAAACAAATATTCCATTCACAAGGAGAATAGCTCTGATGTGTGCATAATGTGATAATTCCATGGTACCTTTTACAATACAAGCTCTGCTTCTCTTGCCTTCATATAGAGGTTGGGCCACGGAGTGATGGTTCATCTACATAAATTCTTACTCTGATTGTTTGTATGGCATTGCATTATACATATACAGAGAAATTATGGTTGTTGGCTTCAGTAAACCCATTTTAACACATAAATAGGCACATCATGTCAATATACTGAACCCTAATTAATAACATGAGTTGTAGTGTCAGAGCTTCATAAAGACTAAGAATTTCCTCTTTTTCTGATTTTGTCCCCTTTATACTTTTCTTTGAAAAATTCTTTCATTGCTTAATCTATTTTAAAATCTCATTTGCATATAAATAAATGTGTAAATGCATCTATTTAAATATAATGTTTCTCAAAGAAAACTTCATGGAATCAATTTTGAGCAAAAATTCTCTTAGAACACTCAAGAATTATGAAAGCCAACGATACTATAATGACTATATTATACTAGGATACTTGAATTTTTATTCAGTTTCCTAACTAATGCTTCATAACAACAATTTTTATGAGGGCAAGTAGTCTTTTTAGTAATGTTAATATTGTATATCTAGGAGAAGTCCAGAGGTGGGTTTCAGCGGTTCTGACTAGTTCTGGAGAACTGGTAGCGGAAATTTTGAATAGTTCAGAGAACCGGTAAATACCACGTCTGATTGGCCATGCCCACATCTATTCTCTGCCTCCTGAGTCCCAGCTGATCGGGAGGAAATGGCAATTTTGCAGTAACCTTCCCCTGGAGTGGGGAGGGAATGGAGATTTGACAGTATCCTTCCCCTTCCTCGCCCACCAAGCCACGCCCACCAAACCATGCCACGCCCACCAAAGCCACACCCAGAGAACCGGTAGTAAAAAAATTTGAAACCCACTACTGGAGAAGTCAAGGTAAAAAGGCTGAACAGTTCCACTCTCATGATGAATTAATATCAATAATAAAATCTCATTCAACTAATTCAATGCATCCTCATGGTTTTCTTGACCTGGAATGGAAATGACTCTAATTTTCTTAGAAGTTGGGTTGATTTCCCAGACTAGTCCCCAGATCTGGAAGTTTATAATGGCCTCTCATCCAAAACCCAACCAGATTTCAACTTTTTGTAATTCAGTCTAGGTTGAAGTTGGTTTCATGATGTAATCTAAATGTTGATTCATGGCAACTGGACATCATCATCATCATCATCATCATCATCATCATCATCATCATCATCATCATAATAATAATAATAATAATAATAATAATAATTTTATTTCTATACCGCCCTTCTCCCGAAGGACTCAGGGCGGTGTACAGCCTATTTAAAAACACAAGACAAAAACAACGATTACAATTTAAAATGATTAAATAAATTTGGCTCAATTTAAAACCCCAGAAATTTAAAATACCCCAATTTAAAATTATTATGTTGATAGCTGGGCCTGGCGGAACAACAGGGTCTTCAGTGTGCAGCGAAACACCCGGAGGTCGGAGATCTTACGTATTTCTGGGGGCAGTTCATTCCACAGGGCTGGGGCTGAGAAGGCCCTCCCCCTGGGTGTCACCAGCCGACATAACTTGGCTGATGGCACCCTGAGGAGATCCTCTCTGTGGGAGCGGACTGGCCGGTGGGAGGCTATTGGTGGCAGAAGACGGTCTCGAAGGTACCCGGGTCCTATGCCATGGAGCGTTTTAAAGGTGGTAACCAACACCTTGAATCGCACCCGGAAGACCACTGGGAGCCAGTGCAGCTCACGCAGGAGGGGTGTCACGTGGGCACAACGAATTGCGCCCATAACCACCCGTGCGGCCGCATTCTGGACCAGTTGGAGCCTCCGAGTGCTCTTCAAGGGGAGCCTCATGTAGAGAGCATTACAGTAGTCCAACCGGGAGGTAACAAGGGCGTGAGTGACCGTGTGCAGGGCGTCCCCGTCCAGAAAGGGCTGCAACTGGCGAATCAGGCGAACCTGATAAAAGGCCCCCCTGGCCTTAGTTTGAGATGTTTCAGTGCTTATCCATACAGCTTCATCAGGCAGAGCAAGTTAATTAGGCAGAGAATGGTTGCAATGTACCAACTTCTCCCAGACCAACTTCAAGTATTTTCTCCCCAAAGTATGTTGCAAATGTCAAACAACTTTACCTGGATGATTGAGGATCTTCAGTGACATATTACATGATGTAGCTGACCATTCATGTACATATCTTGCCATGGGTGGATTTCTTGATCATCCCCAAAGATGAACACCACAGAAACCTATAGCAGATAATACAGTATATGTTTTGCCAATCTGCTGACTAGGGAAATAAATGGAAAGATGGAAAAACCATAGGAGGGCTCCTGCTTGCAGATTGCCAGTCTCTGGTGGAGGATATAATTGCAGCTGTGCTTTATATAGTTCTAACCTAACCTTCCTCATTCCTTATTCTATATGATTTTCAGTAACTGTCTTATAATTCTCTATATCTCCCAGATGATCAGCAATCCAACTATGTAGGATTGTTAGGTTTTTTTAAAAAAATCTTGTGTTTCCTCTTTAGTGTTCTGTTCAAGAACTTGGCTTTCACTGCCTTTAATTCCTCAGTCCAACAACCAAGGAAGCCCTGATATTCTCCCATATCAGCCTTTTCTATTACTGAAAGATGATTTTAGTAGTTTCCCCAAATATTTCATCAAGACCAAGCCTCTATTTTTCACTTTCTAGTCTCACAGCAGCTCTGAATTATTACACTGTTAGAAGCCACCTGGATGTGCTAGTATACCTTTGCTTCAGTCTGTGTGCTGCTGTGCTTACAACACTTGCATAGTTCCCTTTGGATATTACAGTGACCGTACAAGACCTACAAGTGCAAAGTCGTTGCGTATTTGAGGGGCTGTAAATGTTCTCACATCAGGAGTTGTTCTCAGTTGTAAACTGTTCCCCTCCTTTCCTTTTAGCAGCATCTTGTGAAAAATGAAAACTGTCAGCTTTATCTAGTCTTCATTTTGTTCTCCCTAAACCATAATATCCGTCCATGTCAGAACTAAATTAAAAATAGGGTGAGATTGATATAATAACAATTCAACAAACAAAAGCCTGAATCTAGCTAGATGAATTCTAGCTTTGACTTACTTATTTACAACGGAACGATACAGGAATAAAGCAACTTGTTTCTCTTTCTCTCAGCAGTTTCCCTTTTCTCTAGTACACCTTTATTTCTAATGAGTAACCTGTGTGCATTGCTGTGAGTATCTGAGAGCCTGGCCTTTTTCCAATAATGTGAGAACAGTCAAAGGAAAATTCTAGTCACTTAGACTAATTTGCCCTCTGGAATTAATTGGGCCCTGCTTGAGGAGTTGCTTGGATTTATACATTATTAACTTGCTTTTCCATTTGTGTAAAAATTCAAGGTAGCTTGACATTAACATCTGGATAACAGGATTAGAATCTAGTGTTCTAATTATATGATTAAGTAATATTTCCAGATATATAGTGGTTGTTATGATGGGTCCTTGGTGCTTTCTGAGCTTGGTTGTTTTCTTACAGACTACTCATTTTGCCTCATCAAGTTTGCCTCAGCAGTGCTAGTAATGAGTGGGCTTTGCTCTCAGTTTATATTCTAGTGGCTTGCCCTGTCAGTGTTGGTGGAGTGGTCTTAGAGGTTTTTTCGTTGGGATGTTTACTGTTAGTTTGTTTGACAGTTCTTTGATTAGAGTATTGTTTGGTTCTTGATTGTTGGTCTGATATTAATCTTGGACGTAATCTATGCTCATCTAGGTATTGATTGCTTCAGGGGAGGTATTTTGGTCATTTTGTTGTTAAAATATTCAAGCAAACATGTGAATTATGAACTATTACAATAGTTTATAGCAAGGGGTCAGTAAATACTACTACTACTATTACTACTACTACTACATCAATAGGTGGCAGTCTATCTGGCTGACTACATGAGAAACCATAATAATTCCAGCCTAAACATCTGACTGACTATGCAACCAATTGTAACAATAGTAAAAGTTTACTTAATTTTCATAACTATTCCCTCTTTAGGAACTTATCTGGCCAGATTTATACATTATTCTTGCACATATTGGCTGCCATTCCATAATTGTTTCCATGTCATTCTGAATCATGCCTGCATTTTCTATTTATATTGTTGGACTCAACAATACATGGTGAGATTGCATACCAGTGCCTCATCATCTAGCAGGCAAGATATTTTATTACAAACGTTGTCAACTGATATGATAACCAGGAAAGACATGATTATAAACATGGGATCCTGGCAGTTGAGTTACTGGCAAAATTCAAGGGCTCTTTACTGCAAGTGCTGTTTTCACTTTTTAAAAGCAATAGACATTATATATTTATGAGATCTATAAGGCCACCCACTCAAATTGTGAGCCTCTGAATGGTGTATGGCCTAAAAAACAAACACCAAAACACCAAGAAATTTTAAAAAAACCCAACCCTTCCAAATCATGTAGTATTAAACATATAAAAGGTGGTGCCATTTAAAATGAAATTTTATATCCATAATGGGTCTTGTCTCAAACTGGTGCCTAATTGATACTATAGTTGCCTATTTCAGTTATTTAAATATAAAATGTAAATTGGAGAATAAGTAATATAACAAATTAACAAAAAAAAAAAGATTGTCACTCAACTAACCTCCAGTCCCAAAGTTGAGCAGAATTGGATTCTGTCATAGATCAGAGGGATATTCATTCATTCAGGAAAAAGCTTCTATTAAGAGAAAAGCAAAAAGAAGTTAGACCTGTTTTACAGCTAAATCTGAGGTTTATCCAATATTAATACAAAAAGTCCACTTAAATCTAGTTTTTTTTTTAATAAAGTGAGGCACCATGCCTAATATACTTGCAAGTAATTGCAGACTCATTAACTATAATTAGATATAAATAACATTTTTGAAGGGTACAGGACAAATGCTGGCAGATGCTAAAGAGACTTGAAAGAAAATTTCCCTCTTTTTATCTTTGTTTAGTAGGCCTCTAGATTTAACAGCCATGCAAAACTCATATTCACCGTGTTTTTTCCCTAAACAACTGGTTGGGAAGGACATTTTTAAAAGGAAGCAGCTGTATAGAAATGCCAGATACAGTGTAATAATAATAATTTGAGGAGTCTCCTTGTTTTCTTGCCCCCCCCACCTTTATTGGTTTACAGAATAAACACTTTTTGCAAGCCAAAATTTGAGGGACAATAACAGGGGAAAAAAAAAAAGAGGATTGTTCAATTAGGCCTAAGTTGTGGAAATGAGTTCCTAATATAAATGCAAAGAATTTATGTGCATTTGCTTTACCAAAACGGCTTCAGTTTTTTTCACTTAGAATTGATTTTATTTAAAACGTTGCCTGAAGCAATTGCTCAATGAGTTGTTTTCTCCCTGAAGGTCTCTTTCTACCATTTCACACCACCAACTATTCTTCTAGTAAAGAATATAAATCCTCCTTTTTACCTTTTTGTGGCCTCTCAAGGACTAACAACCCTATAAATCTGTATAGGATAAAAATACCAATAGTTGTTGTATGTAATTTAGAGCCTGAACTTCTTGGGGTAAAAACAAACCTACAAACCCATGATGGTGGGAAAATATGTTATTGTTCTTGTTTTTTCCCCAAAGACTTTAAAGAAAATTGCAAAGAGTAGAATAAACTGAGCTCTCAACAGGAGAAGCCTTCTTTCTTGAAACAGATTTCCACATTATCCCTGAATGTTGGAAGACCTTGTTTGATGGAGGCTAGGATTGCTAAAAGTAATCTCAGAAAACGAGAAAGCCTCCTCTTTAGCATTTCCTGTGGAGGACCCTGCCAGAAACGCCTGCTCTCTTATGCCTTGTTATGCAGTACTGCAGAAAGCTATTGCAGATTCTTTGCAATTCACTTAAAGGCATTAGTTGACTGTGAAACCAAGGTTCATTAGGGAACCCCATTTACAGAAATGGGCAACACAAGATCATTATATACAAATTACTACAAGGCACTCACCAAGTCTCTGTAAAGATGCAGTGATTTGTCACACTGTTTCTGGGGAACATTTGTATCACATTCTTTAGTTCTGTTAAACAAACTACAAAGTGTGCCTATTTTAAGGCATAGAAAAGGGAGACAAACTATCTTCTTTTTCATATGTTTCCTTGAAGTGTACAAGTGACTAGTTAGAGTGGCAATTCTGTTTCTGTAAAATGGATCACACATTTTTATTTGCCCCTATGTGTATATACATGCATGAGGGAGGGAAGGAGGGAAGGAGGGAGGGAGGGAGGGAGAAAGAGAGAGGGAGGGAGGGGAGAGGGAGGGAGGGAGGGAGGGAGAGAGAGAGAGAGAGATCAGTTTGGTGTAGTGGTTAAGATACCAGGTTAGTGACCATAAAATTCAGTCCCATCTTAGCATAAAGCCAGCCTGATGACCTCGGACCAGTCATGCTTTTTCAGCCCCATGGAGCAATGGCAAAGCACTTCCAAAAATATTGCCATGAAAATTTAAAGAACTTGTCCAAGCAGTCAACAGAAGTCAAGATTAATTTGAAAGTGAGCTCCCTCTCCCTCTCCCTTTCATTTTTTTTCTATGAGAAAGGCCTAATCGATGACAGGGTATGTGATAACAAGGCATAAATTCCAGATTCAATCTTGTCCTAAGTTGTATAATATCAATCAATGAAAGTTGAGTGAGGCTGTTCTTTGTTTCTTTGAGTACAGACTTGAAAACTAATAAGAGCCACCCTGGCACAGTGGTTAGAATGCAGTACTGCAGGCTACTTTTGCTGGCTGCCGGCTGCCTGAAATTTGACAGTTCGAATCTCACCAGGGTCAATGTTGACTCAGCCTTCCATCCTTCCGAGGTCAGTAAAATGAGGACCCAGATTGTTGGGGGAAATATACTGACTCTGTAAAACCAGTTAGAGAGAGCTGTAAAGCACTGTGAAGCAGTATATAAGTCTAAATGCTATTTCTATTTCTATTAATCTTTCCATTTTAGGGAGCTCTACTAGACCGAGGACATGTAGCCTTCAGAAATCTGGATGAATGCTAAGTAGTAGCAAAAGAGTTAAGAGTTTTATGTATCTCTATACTCCTGTGCATGATGGCTCAAACATTTGCAAACCCAAATATACGTAACTATCTCAACGGATTGAATAAGTGTGCTCTCTAAGGAGTGCAATGCAATTGCATGTTGCCAAACATTCATGTCACTTTTTAACTGAAGGCTGCTGAAAGAGGAAAAGTTCATATCTATAATCACTGTTCTGTGAAATAAATTTGCAAAACAGAATGATTGGCCCAATGTCACCCAAGTAAGTGAGGAATTGAATCTGGCCAAGTATATGATCTCAGTCACCTCACAACATTGATACCAAAGATATTTTACTTTTTGAACTGATGGAGAAGAGAGTGCCTCCCTCTTATTTCTACATATATAGGAATGCACTAAGAAATTCCAAGTTGGTTATTTACATAATTTTTCTTGATTTTGAAAAAAACCCTAAGATTCTTACTTTGCTTAATTAATAATTAGTGCTTACAGAGCATCTTCAGATGTCTCCTATTGTATGTTGAATATTTGATGTTTTGTTTTCAAAGGAATAATTTTTGTGTCATATGAGTTATTATTTGATAGATTAATAGAAGACTTCCATTCTTAAACTCCTCTAACATTAATGGAGTTTCAACCTATTTTCATGTCAATGTGCACCAACTTGCTTTTTCACCTTAGTGAATCAGCATATTCTTCTATTGAATGTCCTAACAATACAAATTACCTTTGCCCTTACTAAAGTTTGTGTATTGGCTGATGCTGACAAATAACCCTTAAGACAATAAACAGGTTTATTAGAATTAATTACTACTCTACTTTGTTGATTTCTTCTCCATTAAATGCTGTAAGTAGTATTGTATTGAGCAGAAATTACTCTTGGTAATTCTATGCAAACTGTTGCTAGTTTATTTCTTTTCTCTTCAGCAATTTAGCAACATATAAACAAGTGCAGATTTAAAATTACAAAGTTCATATCTGTTCATTCATGCCACCCAAAATATGGTGCAAAGTATGTAAAGATCTGAATTCCGTAGCTTTAAGGAAGATGATTAAGACTTGGCAATTCAATAGGGATAAAAGCAGTTAGTATAAAACTGCCTTAGTAGCTCAGTTAACTAGTGGATTTTGTTTTAAATGCTGAACGTATGTCATTCAGGTTGCTGATCAGCTGCCTTGTGTGGACAATATATTAAATTTTGTAATCAGTAAATTTCATATACTCCCACATATATTTTAATTCATAATCTAATTGTCCAGTCTGTTTGAATTCTAGGAGTTCAGTTCAGATTCCTACACAGAATTCCCAAGAACTGCAGTTTTCTTATGATTTTTATACTTTCCATCAAGGCTTAGTTATACTTGTTGCTATGTTTCCACCAGAGCGCTATCATCTCATTTAGTTAACATGAGAACATGGGAAAATCATAATTTACTATGTCTTCAAATTCTTCATCCTGATGAATTTGAAGACATTTGAAGACATCCTTTTTCACATTCTTTTGGAATGGAATCTTTTCAAGTACATAGAATAGATAGAATTCTTTATTGGCTAAGTGTGATTGGACACACAAAGAATTTGTCTTGGTGCATGTGCTCTCAGTGTACATAAAAGAAAAGATACATTTGTCAAGAATCATAAGGTACAACACTTAATGATAGTCATAGGGTACAAATAAGCAATCAAATTGTATTAGGAAACAGTCAATATAAATTGTAAGGATACCAGCAACAAGATTACAGTCATACAGTCATAAATGGGAGGAGATGGGTGATAGGAACGATGAGAAGATTAATAGTAGTGCAGACTTAGTAAATAGTTTGACAGTCCTGAGGGAATTATTTGTTTAGCAGAGTGATGTCGTTCGGGAAAAAACTGTTCTTGTGTCTAGTAGTGCAGTGCTCTATAGCATCATATTGAAGGTAGGAATTGAAACAGTTTATATCCAGGATGTGAGGGGTCTGTAAATAAGCCCTCTTTTTGACTTGTCAGTATACAGTATACATGTTATTGTTATTGAGCTTCCCCCCATTTTATGACCTTTTTTGCCATGGTTGTTAAGTGAATCACTGCAATTGTTAAATTAGTAACATGGTTGTTACATGAATATGGCTTACCCATTTACTCTGTTTATCCAAAGGTCACAAAAGAAGATCGTATAACTGATAATCCCAGATAACTGCAACAGTCATAAATATGAGTTGGTCGTGTCTGAATTTTGATCATATGACCACAGGGTGAAAAAATAGTCATAACTCACTTTTTTCAGTGCCATTGTAACTTTGAATGGTCACTAAATGAACTGTTGTTAAGTCTAGGACAACCTGTATACATTCATACAGGTAATTGACTGTGTGCCATCAAATAGTTTTCAACTCCATAGATTTTCTCCATGAGGATCTATTCCTAACTTCTTATTTGAAGTGATGCACTCATTGCTACTATAGCTGAATTTGTCCACCTTGCTACGGTCATCAAGTTTCCTTGCTTTTCCAGCATTAGATGCTTTTCGTCTAATACTGGATGAAAGAGAGCTGGGTCTTTGATAATGTATCCGAAGTAAGATAATTTGAGCCTAATCATTTGTGATTTCAGTGAGAATTCTGGATTGGTTTGCTTGATGATCCATTAGTTTCTTTTTTTGACTCTCCATGGTATTCTTGGTAGCCTTCTCCTGGGTGCATCAATAATATT